TTATTCTTCTTTTTCTTTTGATAAAGAAAATCTATCAACAGGTGTCTAGGTATTTAAATTGCGATCAATTTCTTGGTTGTTTAAGCTAAAACACTCCTAGTAATGCGATAAAGCATGTATAAAAATAACGAGCTCCACTGTCTCATACCGCCATCGCCATTCTTCTATCGGAACACCAGACGTACTGCAGGATACCATCCTTTCTTGGTTGACATTCCGACCACTCGCACTAAGCGCTATTCATCATCTTTTATAATGCGCACAGCCAAGAAGTAGAATGCCCTGCCTGCGTCTGTTTTTCCTAGTGCGTATAACCTGAATCTATTTAAGGTGCGTGTTAACTGGCTTCTCCTGGGCAAACTCGCTAGATCGTAGACCTTATCTGTGCCTTCGAGCTAAGATGAAGGTCAAGAGTGAGCCCATTTCTAATTTAAAAAAAAAATCTTAGTTTTTTACTCAAGATAATATGCATCGAAATATTGTTTTTTTTTCAATATAAGATTTAAAAGATATAAAAGGGTTCTTATTTAATTATGAAGAATATAGTTTTTTGGATTCAAATATTATGGTCCACAAATTCAAGGTCGCTCAGCGAGCAATGAAACGCGCGATGCTTCGAGTTTCTCTGGCAGACAGAATTCGAAATGAAGTCATTCGCCAGAGAACTAAAGTAACCGACATCGCGCGCAGAATAAGCTCGCTGAAGTGGAAGTGGGGCGGTCATGTCTCCAGACGTACGGATGGCCGGTGGAGCCGAAACGTGCTAGAGTGGAGACCGCGTTTAGGCCAGCGTAGTGTAGGACGCCCTGCAGCACGATGGACAGATGACCTAAGAAAGGTGGCTGGCAGTGGATGGATGCGGGCTGCCCAGGACCGGGTTGGTTGGCGCTCATTGGGGGAGGCCTTTGTTCAGCAGTGAACAGCGATAGGCTGACTGATGAAGTATTAGTAATAACAACTATTACTTATAAACATTTAACTGGTACTATCTACAGGCTGTTTTTTTTAAAAGCAGGTTGTAAGTTCGATTTCTGTCAAAGTTTTTTTTAAATTTTCTAAGCTTGCGTTTGTGTTTTGAAGAACACGTGGCGTCTGCGTTAATAACGGGAAGGAATTCGAAGAAATGACAACAGATTATACTCTATTAAAACAGTCGAAGCATTTTTTTATATTTATTTTTTTATTTGCTTAGCTCGGATGTCTAACAGTAGCCTTAATTTAGAATCTATCTATGTCCTAATTTTTATCCAAATCTGTCTAACTGCTTCAGCATGAAGTATATCTTCACAATATATAAAATTCCCGTGTCACGATGTTTGTCCGCGATGAACTATGAAACTACTTATCGGATCTTAACGTATTTGTTTCAAAATGTGTGACTTGTTCCAACTTAAAAGATAGCATAGATTTTATTCCGATTATTTCCTTTTTCTATTGCAAAATTAACGATTTTCATAAGTGTGCCACAGCAACGCGTGGCCGGGTCAGCTAGTAGTATATAGATATCCTTTTGGTGCTACCAAAATGTGTAAAGTAAAATAATAACACAAAATTTATCCAAGCGCAGTTGCGTTCTACTTGGACATTCATAATCGAAAGGAAGTACCTACTGAAAAGTTGACCACGTTGCCTTCTTATACAGCTGGAAGAATTCTTTTAGACGTCTTCAATTTCTAATAACAAACGATTTAATGCAGATTTTATCGATGCCCAGACAGACGTAAAAGTGTAAAGAGAAGTAATACGTTAATGACGGCAGTTACATATTTTTGGCCGAGTCGGATTTTTGTGTTACTTGATATCTTCGCTAATTGAGGATAGATTTTCATAATTTTTTTAATGAATATGTTTTATGATATATTCAAATAAAATAAGGCTTAGATTTAGTTATTGTAAGCTCAATCTCATTAACAAGGTACTAAGAAATCCTCCATTGAGCTTTATCACTTTTATTATATACTAGTGGCTTACCCTCGTTTCGTTCGGGTGCTTCCTTAAGTGTCTTTAGCATTTATAATATTCCCACACACGCTTCCCTTTATATTCATTATAAAATACCAGCATAATATAACAGAATATATAACTCATCTTAATGCCTTTACTAGCGAAAGCATAGTACTTTCATTTCAAGTTCAAGTTTTATTTTCGCAACAAAAAGTAGCCTATGTCCTTTTCCAAGGTCCTATGCCTCTCTATACTAAACTTTATCAAAATTGGTTCAGCAGTTTAGGCGTGAAAACGTAACAGACGGAGTTACTTTCGCATTTGTAATATTAGCATGTATGTATTTAGTTTAAAATTTAAACATAGCAAGGAATTTTTATATTAGGAAATTGTGGGGCTTTTAGAATATAACTATTAACACGAATTACTTTCAGTCTACAGCTCAAAGAGAACAAGAGATATTATCATATAATAACAAAACTCTTTCTAAGAATGAAAAAATATGTTTAATATGCTTCTCTATAGAATATGTATTTTAATAGAAATGGGAGTACACGCTTTCATTTATTTTAAGGTAGTATGACCATTTCACATGTTCGTTGGCTCGAATCCAGCCTGTGGCGATTATACATTTGCATTTTATTCATGTTATCTAAAAGCTTTAAAACCTACTATCAATTATTAAATATATTAATGTTAATTTTTGTTTGAAAAATTTGATTCGAATAATTCGTTTCTAGATCTTTGTAAAAACACCTTTGATTTAATTCTACACAGAGAATAGATATTTTTCTGGAGTAAAAATTATCATATATGTTGACAATTAGCTATTATTATACCAAATTCCATCAAAATCTGTCCAGCGGTTTTCTCGTGATGCCTTCCCAGACAGACAAAAATTCTAAAAACTATAGATTCGGCCTCTGTATCGATAATAATGACTATTTCAGTAAGATTTTCAAAAAATATTTAAGGCACAGATTCGACTCGGTTAGAACTTTATTATATGTATAGATAGATTCTACTAGTTTTGACAAGTGACAGCTATAGTACATATTAGTCGAACGATCTACATTATTTGCATTTAAAGTATCATTTAGGTATTTTTGAACTGAGTACTAATTTTTAAATACTATTTAACTTTTAAGCTGATGATTTTTTAACAAAATAGTAAAACCAAACATTAATAATAACTAAACAAGAAAATATGATTATCTTATTCGGCTGTGTAACAAGATTATGTTATATTCTCTGGTTACTTAAAGACTTTATTAAGTCTGAAATGTTTACTGAATTTATAATTAAACATAGTAATGGCCTTACCTACCATGGTACCTTTCACCTTTGAACCTACTCTTGACTTGTTCAATCTAATTAAATGTTTTAATATTCCTTTCCGCTTTTGGAGTCAAGATTCGAACTTTGATAGCTTCTTTGTAAAAAAAAGAAAGGAAAATGTAGGGCTTCACCTTTCAGAACAAGAAACCTACATAATACCATCTTTATTGTTAGAAAGCTTTGAAGAGCTTCTAATACTTTATTCATCGCTATTCTTAATTCTGTGTAATTGTTTGGCTTTCGTTTATGTATAGGTTAGTGAGAGGGTAAATAAAAGATATAAGTCGAAATTTATAGTTTATATTAGATTTATAATAAGATATGTAGTCTACAAAATTTCACAAATTTTCACAACGTTATTTGAACCTAAAGCGTCTACCCATTTTATTATGAAAATAAAATTATCGAAATCACTGGATCTACGTACGACGGGGGCTGATTTTACGTAACCATTATTTTTTAAAATATAATCTAATAGGCAGTTTTTTTATTCTCGCGTATCTTTACATGAGTAAGTCAAAAACTAATAACGGTAAAAAAATAAAAAAATATCAATTCATAAAACCAGCCCCCCGTTAAACCAAACAACAACGTCGTCCGATACAAATACAATTATATTTATTTTATTATCGTTATATTTAACTAGAGTTATACAGAATAATGATCCTATGAAATATAATTATGCATTCTTTAAATTTATTCAATATAATAATAATAATAATACTTAATAAGTATCAATAGGTAATGAATAGTCAATGTCGTGCTACAAACTACAGTAGTTGATAATAATTATAATAATGAATGAGTCGTATTATTTCTTTATCATTTATTACTTTAAATTTATTATCGATATTAACCACTAAACGATCATACGGCAGCCTCGACCCGCGCGCGCGGGCGCGGGCGCACATAATCACAAAAAAACATCGTCAACACATAAAATAATAATCAATAATAATAATCGTACAGATAAAAATCATTCATAAAAACATTACAATAAAAATCTAAACATTAAAACACACTTAAAACAAACATTATATTAATATTATTATAATCATAGTGTGTACGTATGTATAATATCATTTAAGCGAATAATCGTATAGTCAAAATAATGAGCATGGCGCGCGGGGGAGCGGGGCGGGCGGCGGCGGCGCGGGCGGCGCATTACACTACCTACACCCAAGGCTCCCTAGGCCTCGGGCTACACCGACACAAGTCACAACAAACCGCACTCATTACCATTACCTATCAACAACACATTGGCTAGGCCGCTCGCGCCGCGCCCCTCCGGCCCCGCGCCGCCCACGTCTCGCTTATTATATTATTACGATATCTTAATACTTTACGCTACTACGTTAGGTAAGCTTTATAAATTTTCGATTTCTCATTTACGCTATCAATAATAATAATTATACAACTTTTTTTAAATTTTATGCTTTTTTTCGAAATTCTATCGTAACCTCGACTCTCTCTGCGGCGACGAGCGCGGCGGACGCTCGACGACCTAATAAAAAACGTTCATAATAAGAAAATATATCGTGAGTAACTCTGCCGACTTACGATAGGTACGGCGCGGCGGACGGGCCGTGCCGGCGAGGCGCCGACTTTTGGCACCAGGATTTCGATTACGCGACTTTTTTTTAATATTTTCGTAACGATTTAAGTAAAAAAGGTCAGTCCCGCGTCGGCGGGATCGTGGCGAGCCGCGTCGCGGCTTACGAGAGAATGCGGATGGCTTGATGCGCGGGCGCCGCGCACGCGGGGCAGGGCGCCGCCGTCGCCGCCAGCCGCTGCGCGCACTCCAGGCAGAACAGGTTGTGGCCGCACGGCACCAGCGCCGCCGCCACGCCGCGCTCGGCGCACACGGCGCACGTGCGTGCGGGTGATGCGGCCGGCGACGGCCGCGGCGGACCCCACGCCCATACCCCGCCGGCGCCCGGCGACTCGAACGACGGGGACTCCCCCAGACCCTCGTCGCGCTCCGTCGACGACCAGATGCCCAGCAGATCGCCGAGGCGGCCCGACGAGCCGCCCGAGGAGCATGAGCCGGCTGATGAGAAGGCGGCCTCCTGTTCGGGGCGCAGCAGCGAGGCTAGCCCGGCGCGGTACAGCTGCGCCAGGGGCTCCCCCTCGGCGCCGGCCACCGCGCCCGCGCCGGTGGCGCCACTCGCCGCGCCCGTGCGCAGAGCGATATGCGCCTCGATCTCCTTGCGCGCAGCCTCCACGCTCTCGGGCAGCCCCGTCACCTCGAACACGGGCTCGCGCTCGCGTGACGGCGTCACTATGTAGGTGTGCGTCGTGTGCTGAATACGTTTGATGGTAGCACCCTTGGGGCCGACCACGAGCCCTACGACGCGGTAGGGCACGCGCACTTGCGCGGTCACGTGGCCGGGTGCGCCGGCCGGCGGCGGGGGTGCGGCGCCGCACTTCCTGGACGCGCGGATTTGAGAGAAGTGCTCAGCGGCGGAGAGGATCTCGCGCTTGGCGCGTGCGACATCTTCCTTGCGGCCCGTCACCACGAACACGGGCTCCTCACCGCGCACTGGTGTCTTTATGTACGTGTTGGTCTTCGCTCGCAAAGCTTTGATTTTGCAACCTGAAACAATAGAATTACTTTTTGAGTTGTATATTAATATTAATAAAAAGCCCTACACACATTATAATTTTTACTAATAAATTACTTCTAGTAATATTGTTTTAGTTACTGTCAAGATATCATTATTAAATACTTTCTTAAGGTATATTACAATCCCAACTTAGATAGACATTATAGGTTGTCATAGTATTCTATAGTAGCATTGTTCCAGTATAGTATTGTAAGCGGCTAGACATAATTAGTATTGCAAATCCTCCAATACGATACTACCCCGTCAATGTGAGCACAGTCTGCAGTTCCCGCGAGCGCGGCCGTTGCCTTGCGGGGGATACGTCAATCGGCGGCTACATGCCGCACGAGGCGCATGTTTACATTCGACTTGTATTTGTAAAAGTTGAATATTTATTTTTAACCAAGGACGTACGAGATTTCTTACTTTACTGTATTGTACATTAATTTGTTATTTAGAATTAATCGATAATTTTGCTTTTGCCCTACATAAAAGGACCACGTGGTCTGCCGTTTGTATCCCGTATCGACTCGTGGCTTTGTTGTACATCTGTCTTGCTCGCGCACTCCACTGCGGCAAAACATGGTAGCGTGGCGTGCAGTGTCCTGTCCGAACGTATCCACGACCCCGCAATCAATATCGCACGCTTTCTCGAGCACTTTATCATATAAAAAATAAGACGTTCCCACTTAGTCTCCCGCAGAAAATTTGAGTTGAAATAAATTATTATTTGATAATACAACCCGATATCACTGTACAATTATTTACAAATCTAAATTGAGATTTTAATGAATAACTCGAGTTAGCTTAGAATAAATGATTTATTTGGTTTTATATTTCAATTTGTAATGGTAAAGTAATATAGAATACGTAACTTGTCATATGACATAGTTTTTGTATATAGAGGTAAAAATAAGATAAAAAAACAGGCTTTACTCAAATAACACAATGGTAACAAATTCACACAGCCCTAACTCCTGAACTAGAAAACTGTGTTTCAGGAGCTAGTACCTTCCCGTATCAGGCGTATGTATATTCAATGCATGAAATTACACGTTATAATAAGGTTAAGGTTAGATGTAGTATCTGTTAGTATTAACAGCGTAATTCTTGTAGGGAATTATATTATAATATGAAGTTGGTTGTGAAAAATAGGACCTTAACACTTTATACATATATTTTCGCTCGGGTTCGTCCCTAGGTTGATTCCCTATATAAATTTTCATCCCCATTTTCAACCTCTAAAGGGATGATTTCCGGGATAAAAAGTATCCTATGTCCTTCCGAGCTTCTCAAACTATGTTCTTATCAAATTTCATCTAACTCGGTTCAGTAGATCCTGAGATTACCCCGTACAACGTCACAAACTCACAAACTGTACCTCTTTATAATATTATAGTATAGATATAATAATTTAGATGATTAGTATTATAAGTAAAAACAAAATATATCAAATTCAGAAATAAAAAACTGCATACAATTGGCCGCGTTTTAGGATCTACACAGTAATACCGAGCTTAGTTTTATATGCGATACGAAGCACTGGCACACCGCCAACTGTGCTACCGCTCGACAAATTAACACTGACCCGACTTGGGGTGGTTTTGAAAATACAACGATATGGTAGAGTAGATGCGTAAGGATGTTCAAAATTAAATATAATTATAATGTAGATAAGTAATAGTTTATGAAAGTATACAATTTATGCTTTATACTAGTGGCTCTCCCTAGCTTCGCTCGGGTCATCACTAGGTACGTTTTAACGGTTAGTATGGAATAGATAAACTATATATTATATTACTACATATGTGTAGTAGCATTATGATATATTATATCCTATAGCCTTCCTCAATAAACGGGCTATCTAATGCAAAAATAATTTTTCAAATCGGATTAGTAGTTTCTGAGATTAGCGCGTTCAAACAAACAAACTCTGCCTCTCTAGGTATAATATTAGTATAGATTTAACTTATATAAAAACAATACTAAAAGGTGTTTATTAGCTATATTTTATCATCAGCGAGTACACAGGTTGTTAGCATAGCACCGTAGAATGGGGACTCGGTTGAAAAATGTTGAATTATTTAGCACAAGGTTCAGCCAGCATATTGTGGAGTGTAATAATGAGTGCGGCGTCAAAGCTTTGGAGGCGTTTTAGTCGCGTCAGAGCTGACGGAGCGTTTCATTTGTATACGGCTATAAGTTTAATTTTTATATATTTGTATTTTTCTAAATATAATAATGAATTAAACCTCTTTTTTAGATGTTAAACGATACCGCGTCCGGCTATAGATTTTTTATTGCTTTAAGCACGACACGACAAGCGGTTTTTATATTCATATCTACTTACTAAATATATTTTATGTAGGCTGTAATATCTTATAAGGGAAGAAACACAATTTCGATGCTCTAGAGGGAAAACCCTCTTAGATACGTTAGATTTGTATTCTCTCCCTCCTAGAGCGGGATGCAACATATTATTGTCTCTCTCCTCAGCCCTCGTCATACCAGTGGAATTTCTTTGTAACAGAATCACGATCGCTTTGACCAAATTCTCAAAGAGAATTGAATAAGGAAAGCAAAAGGGATACCGAAATATTGATCTCTTTATCCATGTAAAAAGTTGTAAGCATTTAAATGTAAATAGCAGTTAAGGTGTATTAGAGCAAATACACTAGGGAAAATCCGGGAGCCGTAACTAATAAATAACGTTTTTCATGCGCAAAGTCAACACATACTGTACACATTTATGCTGACCGTATAACATCTACTAAAAAACGCCCAATGCATTATGAATGTTTGATTTATTATTTAAAAGAACGGGATTACACGTGTACACTAAAGATTCATACAGTGGTTTTGTTAAATATTTTCAGAGATAAAGTTAGTTGTATGTCCAAATAAATATTAAAAGGACACCGTTTAATCACGTTTTAAGCTGACGGTTCTAGAATATATTTAATGAATAAAATTCAATCCAAAATGAAGCATTTCATTAAATAAATTGTTTTTCTCATTAAAATAGCAAAATTGAAAATACGTTGACAAGATTGAACAGTACCCGCGTATTCAATTAAAATGCATGGCACCAACTGAAGTAGTCGTGCCGTAGAACCTAGTTCACCTACATCGTAGCTCGTAGCGGCCACTGCACTCTACGCCGTAGAACCGGGTCACTGCGCCGCACGCTACGGACTTTTTATGATTTACTTTTTTACCCTTTACTCACGCTGATTTTACGCTAAGATTTTTTTTTACGTTTCGTATATTTTACTACATGTGTATGGACATTTTTATTTATTAATATTACTGTGATAAATGTCTAAATGGATTTAAATAGTTAAGTATATAAATAGTTAAGTATATAAATTTTAATATCTATACTAATATTATATAAAGAGGTAAAGTTTGTGAGTTTGTGACGTTGTAGGGGGTACTTTTTTTCCGGGAAATCATCCTTTAAGGGGGTGAAAATGGGGATGAAAGTCTGTATTGGGAAGCAATGTAAATATAATTGCTATGTAATTTAGGATATCTGATCACAGGAAATTTAATGTTTCAACGGGGGACAATGAGACATGGATAAGATTATGTATGTTATTTTCATGGTGTTTTCATGGCTGGGGCATGGGCAAGAGATATCACGTATATTTTAATATTAATTATTATTCATCTATTGTTTTTTTTATACTTATAAAACCTATGTTTGTAACTATTATTTATATAGAACAGATAATAGCAAACTCATCTAAAATAATGTAATAGGATACAGCTCAATTCTGACCTCTATACACTTGATTAATCGACGACCAAGTTTAATTAATTTCGCAGTCAAATACAGTTGTTATTATAAAATTAATTAATTTAATCTCAAGTGTTTTGTTTTAAACAATTAAAATATTATTTTCTATTTAATTATTAATACAAATATACTAACAAACCTACGTTTACAACAATTTCAACAAAATTTTAATATTCTTAAAATGTTCGGAAATATGGCCGTCTTAGCTTTTTTGTATGACGGAAATGAAATAAATGTTAGCGTACACAGAGTAGGCAATATTTATAATAAAGTACCAGGAGATCATGACTAGTCAGGAGTATTATGCTCAGTACCGAAAGTAAAGGCCGCTACACACCCATATAAAGTTTATGGTGCTATAAAAAGCTCGTGTGTATGATTACTAAAAGAATTATATTATAATATACCAAATGATAACAGGGTGCTTACGTTTTTATCTGTATTTAAATCATAAAAGTAATGTACTTAGAGTGATGTTGATTTTAAGATGCAAATTTAGGCGTTATTAAGAAAATAATAAAAAAAAATATAAAAGTTATTAAGAATATTACCCCTTTACTTTATTGAAAAAAAAAGTATATTATCTTCCGTATAATGTTGAACTATATTTATAATTGTAATATTATATTTTTAGATACAGCAACATACCTTATGAACGAGGTCTTACTGCATTAAGTTTCAAATGGCAATGTTGACTAGGAGCAAAAAGAGTAGGATAGAAATAACTAAGCGGAATTTTCTATAAAGTACCAGGGTAGCATAAGTTGAAGGAAGTTAACACCACCGCAGCAAGGGTAGCAACCTAGCGGGTAAACGGAAGTGCCGAGTTTTCCCGCGCACCCTACATCTGTTCCTATACATCGTTATAGCTACACTTCCGGCATACAATGGAACCGAGGGAATGCGTTCCTCTATTCTGCCTTTTGAATACTTCGAAAATATATCTTCGTTGTAACAATTGTACAACTACAAAAACATTTCATACCGGATAAGTTATTTTTTATTAAGAACTTTTGTGGACAAGGGGAAATGAAAACGTCACCCATTATTTCATCGAAGTTGGGAAAAATGTTTTTTATCCGCGATTTGGCATACCGCCAGGCAAGAGGCTTCTTGTCATCAATATTATATAGAGTCATATTGAGTAAAAACCATAGATCATCGTTTTATAATTATAAATTTATGTACAATTTGGGATACTTTAGTGAACAAGTAGTGTTTATAAGCAATTTTTTCACAACATTAACCAACACGTGTAATTGAAAAGGTAGAATTAAAAAGCTTATAGTTAATTCCAGGATTTGTCTTCAACTAATTATTACGTTACGTGTAACATTACATTTCCCGCGCAAAATAGGATAGGAACCGGCTTTTGAAATGGAGCGAAATGTCGCATGCGGTGTTTCAACGCGTGTGTGCGGGGCGAGGGGCGGGGGGTAGGAAGGTAGTAGAGGGGGTGGGGGTGCGGCGCCGTTGGGGCGCGTGCCGTCATCGATCGATACCGGTCAACGACCCGCGGTCGGTGCATTGGCAACCCCTGCCGCGTGCGAATTTAACCCACATTTTGAGGTAATTGCGCGTACCAGAAAATCATCGCAGGTCATGTACATGCTCTTTAAATAATATTATTCGTTCATAATTATATTAAACTTGTCTGTTTCAGTCATTTTTATTTTCAAAAAAAGGCATATTATATGTATTTGTTATATATACAAAATTTAGTTTGACTTATTTCAAGTTACCGTTTTATTTTGTCTGTGCAAATATTGCGTATAGTACCTTTAATGCAAATTTAATTTACCAATAAAGTAAAATAAAGTTAAAATTAACAAAAATATTAAAATAAACCTACTAAATAATGCAAT